AAATAAATAAATAAATAAATAAATAAATAAAGGAGCAGAATCAGTATAGAATATAAGAGAGTTCTAAGGGGAAATTTATTAGGTAAATCTATAGGATCAGAGTCAGGAGAGTCCATAATGACCATATGCATGCTGGAAAGCTGGAGGACCCAGTGGCTGCCCAGCCCAGGAGGATGAAACTGCAGAACAAGAAGGATCAAGGATCAGCAGCAGCCAAGTTTGACTGCCTGGAAGCTCCCTGGAGAGTCACTGGTATGAGTCTGCAATGGGAAGCTGAATAAACTAAAGACTGATGTCCACGGGCTTGACACACCTGCTCAAGCAGATTGGAGCTCTTCAAAAACACACTAGTATCCTTTTTCTTTCCATTTTTATTCCACCCAGGCTACAAGACTATTAGTTAATGACACCCACAACTGGAATGGGTCTTCTCCACCTCAGTCTTCTGGCCTACATGCCAATTATCTCTGAAAACAGCTCATATGCATACACCAAACTCTCCTCCATTACAAGTGTTTCTTGACCCAGTCACATTGACATACTATGATTGATGCCTTATTTTCCTACATCTATACTTCTTATATTTCTACTTTTTAATAACTAAGATTTTAACCATCTTTAAATGAGGTTCATTTTCTTAGCTAATATAATATTGTATTCATATTACCCTTATACTTCTTTGGACTGAATCAACAGCTTCATAGATGTTAGTCCTATAATTTCTCTTGGCTTCCATTTTTGTAATTTTTAAAAATAATTTTATTGAGAAACAAATAGCAATGAGACAGTTTCAAAACTGATTAATAGGACAGTTTCAATAATTAATGCATTGCATATTGTTGTCTTCTTAGTGGTTATTTATTAACAGTACAAAATGCAAGGCCAGGGAGATGGCTCAGTAGAATAAGTGCTTCCCTGGCATGCGCAGAGGCCTGAGTTCAATCCCTGGTTCCGTGAAAATAAATAAATAAATAAATAAATAGTACACGATGCAGACATGATATCCTATCCAGAAACACTACCATTTTTATAATTTATATCCATCATTTTAATAGACTTTGTGTGTGTGTGTGTGTGTGTGTGTGTGTGTGTGTGTGTGGAACTGGGGATTGAACTCAGGCCCTTGCGCTTGCCGGGGAAGTGCTTATTCTACTGAACCATCTCTCTGGCCCTTTTTTTTTTTTTGGCAGAACCGGGGATTGAACTCAGGCCCTTGTGCTTGCCAAGCAAGCACTTATTCTACTGAGTCATCTCCCCAGCCCCTCTCTGGCCCTTTTAATAGACATTTTAATCAACTTTTTTTGTTTTTGTTTTTGGTAGCAGGGATTAAATTCAAGCTTGCACTTACCAGGCAAGCATTTATGCCACTGAGCCATCTCCTCTGCGCTTAATCAACTTCTTAGTAAGAACAAATTGAGATTTCCTAAGAACTCCAGAAAAATAGTGTTTACTCTTTTGGCTTACATGATAAAAACATCTTAGAACTTTCAAACAATGTGGTAAAATTTTTAAAGAAATCTAACAGTGGAAGGCAGATCTTTATTGTATCTTTATCTTCAGAACTCTCCATGCCCTAAAGAAGATCTCTTATCCTTCTCCAGGGGTCTGAGTCCAGGCTTCTTTCTAGTGACAGGGGATTTAATAAGCCTGAAATTTAGCCTTCTGTCAGTCATGCTCTGTCTGGACACATTCTTGGTCTTAATCATTGAGTTGTGACTATTTCCCTGTGTCTCTTATCTTACTCCAACTTCAGGTTGTGTCCCCATTCCCATTTCCTCATTTTCCATGAAAATTTTATTTTAATTTTCATTCCAATTAGAAATAGGTTTGGTTGTAAACAACAGAAATTTTAATCATGACATAATCAAAGAAGTATTTTTTTTTTCACATGACAAGTCTGGACACAGGTCATTCATAGTTGGGGCAATGGCTGGTCAGTGTCAATGGCCAGCATGTTTTTCCATTCTTGCTCCACTACCCTGAGGTAGCATTAAGCATATTTACATTTAAGGCCAGAACAAAAGAAAGAAAAAGATTCTTGGCCAGCTGCGCTTATCTTTTTATCAGAGGAACAAGAGTTTTCTCAAAAGTCTTCCCCTTCTCTCAACAGATACTTTTTAATATCTCTCGGATCAAAATTGAATCATACAGCCACACTGACAGCTAGAGTGAGGAGGAGGAAAGGAGGAGGAGGAAGGGCAAGCAAAAGAGGAGGAGGAGGAAGAGAAGAAGAGGAGGATGATTTGGGATGACAAACAATAGTATTTTTTGTAGCTCCCATTCTAGTCACTCTAAGCCTAGAATCTATATTGCTCTCATTATTCTAGATAGTGGAATAGCAGCCAGAATCTTCGAACCATACCAGAGCAGCATTACCCACTTTCTGGCCTCCCTACTATTGACCTCCTGCCTGGGCTGCTGTTCATTGCTCCATGAGTATGTACTCAGCTGAGCAGCTTCCTACTGTCTGAGTTGAACTCCCCACCACACACACCTCCTGGCAAGCATCCACTTCATCCCAGGACACCCCTCTGAATCCCTTGCTCTAACCATGTACTTCCCAAGCCAAGCTGGTCAGTAGGCTGAGCTCCCATGGTGGTCTTCAGAACATGATTCAGTATTTCATCCCTAGACTGCATTTGTCCTTATATTTCAAGGAAAATACCTACTACATAGCAAGCCCTCAATAAAAGTTTTTAATAGACAAACGCCAGGTCTATCCGATGAAAGTGAAATGTTAGACAAAACAAAAAATCCAGAGGGAGCCATCTATAATTCTTTGTTCTCTATGACACTCTAGGAGTTTCTAAGTAATAAAAATTCACATCAATGATTTGTTCTCCAGTTGCTATGCTGCTTACAGAATATGAGTAAGACTTCTCTTGAGTCTTAGAAAGAAATCAAGTACATACCCTCACATTACACAGAGAAATAATAGCCATTTTTATTAGCCTGCCATGTGTGCGGTCTTACTGTCCCTGATGCTATGAAGCATGACATATAGAAAACAATAATTGGTGGCAGATGTATGTGTCTTTTTCGCCAGAATAAGTTTAAGAACATATGAGCTAAAGAATGAACAGTTTAAACACTGATATTTAACTAAAGATCCCTTTGGTTAATACGTGGGAAAAAAACTTTGTTGCACAAGTAAAAGCATAAGATATAAGTAAGAAAGTTGATATTATTTAGGAAAAAATAGTTTACCTAGTACTGAATAGAATTTTAACAAATATTCTATATTTGAAGGGTGGCCCTTCAGTGGAAAAATGCATAAGAAGCTCTTGTGGTTTCTCATTATTTGTTGTGGTAACAGCCAAGAATTATGATATATATATATATATATATATATATATATATATATATATATATTCTTACTATATATATATATTTTTACTCATCCTACACTACCATGATATTCCAATTATAACTTCTACTTAGCATCGCTATCATATGCAGAAATGTAGCCAAAGCTAGAGCGGAGCAAGAGAGAATACGAAAGTCTCCAGACCAAATGGAAACTCCTATTTCCCTTTGTTGGCTCATAGCTTCTAGGAAAAGAAAAATAGTAATTATAAAGCAAAGTTTATTACAAAAGTTGCAAATGTATCACTTATAAAACCACTAGTAATTATTTGCCTCACTTTATCTTTATTTTTTTTATTTTTGGATGTGTATGTGTGTTTTCAGGTCAGCATTTCACTATGTAGTTTAGACTAGCCTTGAACTCACTTCGTAGCCCAGGCTGGCCTGGAACTTGCAGCAATACCCTTCCCTCAGCCTCCCTAGTGCTGGGATTATAGGCATGTACCACCACACTTGGTCTTCCCTTGCTCTTTACCAAATTATTTTAGGAATTTAAAAAAAAAATCAGAGAATGTGAGTTGGATATAAATACATGTGAAAAGATTTACTACAAACTATCTGATGATTATTGCAATATAAAACTTGCTAAATTGCATTTTCACGAACATTTTGTAAGGGAGTCAGGTTCTCCATCAAGCTTTTCACTTTTCTGAAACTTTCCAACTTTATCAACTGGCTCAGGGTCTATCTGCTTACACTAACTGTGTAGGAAGCATAGAAGTATACTGAGTAGCTTACTGGTGAGATCTACTTTTTTAATTTTTTAAATTTTATTTTTGCAGTACTGGGGATTGAACTCAAGACCTTGCACTTACTGGGCAGGTGCTTATGCTGTTGAGCTACCTCCCTGGCCCAGCTTGCTGGTGATTGACTCTTACCTTCACTCTTCAAGCAAAAGATTCTCCCTGTCCACTCAGCTGAGTAGGCCTGGGCAACGTGATGGTGTGCAAGACTGATGACAAGACCAGACGTGGTAGCACACACGTGCAGCAATCACAGCACTAGGGAGCCTGAGGCAGGAGGATCACTGTGAGTTTGAGGCCAATGAATTCAAGACCAGCCTGAACTACATAGTGAAAACCTATTTCAAAAAGACAAAGAAAAAAAAAAAAAGGAATAATGTCTTAAAGCTGTATATTTATGGCTTTTTTTGTGGGGGGGGGGCGGTCTTTTCCTCTTCCTCATTCTACAATCAGGAGATAGCAGGCCTGGTTTCTTACCTTGAGGGAATGTCACAAGGAGGAAAGCAGAAGTTTTTATTTCCAACTTCAGAAGTCCACAGAATGGCCCACTCTGAGTCCACTGGAGGGAAAAGGGAACTGGGCTTGCTTTCCTAGAGGAAAGTGGGTGCCCTCTAGGCAATGACAAACATCTTCACGTGCCTGTCTTTCTCCTGCTTCCTGTCCCGTGCTACTGCCTAGAGGTACCTACATATGTCTTGCTCAGGGAAGAGTCCTCTCCTCAAGGATGGTGACAGCAGCACAGCCTTTACATCTGAGGAACTCTCAGAATTGCAAGAGTGAGCTCTTCAGAGTTCTAGTGGGCAGATGTGGAAAGGGCTCCCATCCCTGGTGGCTGTCACACCTCCGCGCTTCTTGAGGATGGGGAAACTCAGCCAAAATTTTCTGTGAAAACAACAAAACGTGATACTTCTGCATACACAAGCACTTGAGGACCGAGATTCATGCCCAGAAAACATTGCAAAAAGCAAGGTACACATGCTTCCTCTACTAAAAAAGTCTGTAGACCTTTTCACAGCATCTGGATCTTTAGGTTTTTTGTTTACTGTAATGAATCACACTTATGAGCTACTTGTACTCATTTGAGAATGAGATGTTAGCATATGAAGCTTAGTATGCCACTGTATGTTTAACTATCCCATTTTGTATTCTTTGAGGCTCCCCATTTATCCAAACAATTGTTTTATTTCCCGAGTCATTTGTTCCCTCAGCTCACAGACATTTAATCCCAAGTATGTCCTCTTTAAGCTGTGTTCCTATAGGGCCCTTCCACTCACCTTTAATGATGTTTGGTGTCCAACTTGCACTTTAGATTATGAAGTCCAGTAGAGAAGGAAGAGCTTTGAAGGAAACCATGCTTTCTGGAGCACTGGGTATATCCATTATTTGTTTAAGTTTAAAAGACATGCGCAAGAAATGACAAGAACAGTGAATGAAAACATTAACTACTCTCAGGATCCAATGTCACTGCCCAAAATAGCTTTTTATTCCACAATTCAAGCCAAAATGGACATGAAGTTGTTGTAGAATAGAGGTAAAAAAAGGCAAAGGGAAAATTTGCTGCAAGTACTTTTAGTTATACATGGAAGACTGGTATTTTCCCCAGAGTTGATTCACAGTAAGCAAATTCACAAAAGATACAGTTGGCTTCAAGTTTAATTCATTTCAGTGAGATATTCATCATCATAGCAATAAAATCACATTTGATGTTTAAAAGATTGGGAGATTGGGATGCAATATATATATATATATATATGCATCCCAATCATATATATATATATATGATTAAGCGATTGAGCACAGGGCCTTTACACTGACTTATATTCCCAGTTATTTTGCCTGCCTACCTGCCTGCTTGCCTGTCTGTCTGTCTGTCTGGGATAGGGTGTCGTTAACTTGGTAAATTGCCCAGCCTGGGCTTGAATTTGTAATCCTCCCATGTCAGCCTCTCAGAGTGCTTTAATTACAGATGTGGTAATATACTTAACAAAAGTGCAATGTTGTTATTTTATGTTTACCTCCTTTTCCGAGTGACACCTAACTCTGGTGTTTAGAATCACTTCTTTTTAAATGTATCATTTTGGAGGCAACTTTAGGCTTACAAAAAATGAGTGGAATATGTGTCATATATATTGCCTTTACTCCCCTGCTCCAATTTCTCCTTAAGGGTTCTACCTACATGTCTCCCTAAAGCCTTAGATAGGGCCTTTGGGAAGTGGCTGGATTATGCATGTGGGATTCTGGGCTGGTCCACTGATGAGTTTTCAGTCGGGTATACTGAGGTGAGGCCTGGTGGGAAGAAGTGGTCACTGTGTGCGTGGGCTGGAAGTGTATATGCCTCTCATCCTCCCTTGATAATTGCTGCTTCCTGCTTGGCAGAACACGAACTCTTTTCCTCTGCCATGCTGCCCTGCTTTAGATCCAGCCAACTATGGACTAAACTCTTTACAAATTGTACCAAAATAAACATTTCCTCCTTTCAGTAGGGGGTGTCAGGTACTGGGTCTCAGTGATGAGAAAATAGCTAAGAAACTCCTGCATTTTAATATAGCGTAGGGCTAGAGAGATAGCTCAGTGACATAAGCTCCTGCTTTGCAAGCACAAGGTTCTAAGTTTGATCCCTAGTACAAAAAAAAAAAAAAAAAATAGTGTAGTACAATACCTATATATTTTTTTTCCCACTGAGCTCAATTTACTTTAGGATTCCTTTTCTTTGTGTTGCAATCCTACAGATTTTGACAGATGTATAATGTCATGTGTCACCTTTATAATAGTACCATACATGATTATGTGCCTTCCCTTAAAGTGCTCTGTGATCTCCCTATTCATCCCTTTACTTTGAGAAGAAAGTCCAAAGCATAAGCTATAGAATGGCAGCTACCTAGAGAATTTGTTCCTCTTCCTTGGGATTTAATTTATAGTACTAAGCTATCTAGGCATTCAGAGACTGCTTCAGTTGTGATAGAAGGAATTAGTCTGGCTACTGCTCCAGTTGATAGTAGACATTTGTGTCATCTACCTGATGCTAGCATCAGGTGCATGAGGAGTGCAAGAGTTCTGGAGTCACAAAGGTTTCCACCCAGATATCAGAAAACCTGTGAAGTCAAGTAGTGTGCTCCTGAGAGCATGATCTATGAAGCTGTCAAAGTAAAACTGAAAGTTCAAGAGCCCCCAGATATTAGAAAAGCCAGGAACAGAGAACATATGAGGAAAGCTGCAAGTACTGAATAAAGGCAGCCCAAGAGAGAAGCCATGAGGGCTGAAACTATTGGCAGTGTGGTAGGGATGAGCTGGGGTTTACATCTCCTCACAACTTGCCCCAGATGCTGGACCAGGAACTACAGGTTATAATGTTTCCTCTGCTGAGTTTTGGTCCCATGCTTTTCTAATTCCTTATTTCTCCCTTTTGGAATGAGAACCCTGTGCTTTTATATGCCACCAGTGTTTAACTTTCTTTTGATTTTTACAGGGGCTTACAGCTAAGAGTTTGCCTTAAATCTCAGAGGAGACACTGGACTTTTCAGTAATGCTGATACTATTACTATTAAACTTTGGCAACTCTTAGAGATGAACTAAACGCACTTTAATAAAATGTTGTACATAAGTCTTCTGGGAAACAGGGGTGGGATGTTATGGTTTATATCTAGATGTTTCCCTAAAGCCTCATAGTTATAGGTAGGGCTTTGGGGAGGCAATTGATTAATGGGAGCATGATATTCCTAAGTAAGTATGTCATCAGTGACGAGAAAGTTACTAAGGTAAATACCATTTAAACTTATTCTTCACTCTACATAGGACTAAAGTTTTATAAGACAGATTCTTAAAATTTATAATAATTTTTTGTGGTCATGTTATTCAACTCTGTCTTTGGGTAGCATCATCCTACTCTATTTTCTTTTTCTTTTTTTTTCTTTCTTCAAAGTTTTATTGATAAACAGATAGCAATGAGACAGTTTCAAATCAAATCGGAAGCACAGTTTCAACAAATAATACACTGCATATATTCTTCTTAGTGGTTAATTGCTATACAAGACACGGACTTGTGATCCTATTTACAAACACCATTAGAACAAATCATTCTATTCATTAAGAGAATGCAACTATA